TCCTACGTGGACGTGGACTTTTGTTATATTAGTATCATATTATTAGTAAAATGCCTCCTCCTAAGACAAATAAGCTCTTCAAATTAGGCCATGAACCAAAAACCAAAATATCGGAAATTTATGGGCTGAAATTCTATTGTTTCCAATGTGACTTTTTGTCCGTAAAAAAGCTGTTTCAAAATCGGAGCAAAAATAATTTGATGCTTTTCTTGGATAAATCGCCAATTTATGACAGGTACACATATTTCAAGTTCTCAGGCGGCAACAGAAGGCGAAAGTAACACAATTATTTCTGGAAGATGTTCCGAGAAAATTGATAATACTCTCCTTAAACTCCGCTTAAGAAACCCCATTTCTCTTTTCATATTGCATTAAGTGACTATAACACAGACAATCCCATTTCCCCCTTTTTGAAGCTCGAGGGTGACTCGAAACTTATCCCCGATTAAATGTGATATGTATGCGCTGAGGGTTGTTTTGTTATAGCCACTCACGTCAGGAACAGATCCTGCGATACGTTGAAGCTGTTAGGAGCCCTGTTCCGGCTAACGTGTAGGTAAAAACGTCTTATAAAAATCCTTAATATATTGCGGCATTTTATTTGTTCGGAAATAGAAGCAGGCATGTTTTGGTAAGAATGTTACTTTAATATACATATGAGCTAAACATTTAGCGAGGAGGCTTCGACAATTACTACAGTTTGATACCTCACGCGAAATTTACTTCAAATCGAGAGATGGGAGCGTATGGGGGTACGATAAATTCAAATTAGATTCGGCTGCTATGTACACGTCTCATGCTGCCGTTGATAGGAGATTGAGCGTCAGATTTACATTATGATTTAGCAGCCGATACATAGCATTGTTCTGCCAGCCAGACTCATTAATAACGCAGCAGGAATAAAAGGAAGGGGCGTCACAAATGAATTTGCTTACAAGAGCGGATATCGAAACTGCGTGCGTTTAGTTCATAAAAATTAAATTGAAGTTGATACGACTGAGTTAACAAATTTAGGAGCTACTTTAATTACGGCCAACTAAGAATTCGCAAAACCTAAAAATTTGAACAAAAAAAATTAGTTATCAAATCAACCAACATAAAATGCTGGAAACCGTTTCCGAGTTTGCCTTCTTGATTTTTACGACGCAGTTTCTGAAAAAAAATCTCTTATTAACCACTGTTAGAGTGACTGTTGTTTCAGAACTGGTAAGAATTAAAAGAATGGTGAAGAACCTTCTGGAAATACATACCAAAAACGCATTTTCAGAAATTTGGAAACCTTAAAAACGGGTTTTTCGTATGCAATCAATCATGCTAGGAGTGATGCGATTGAAAGCATTAGGTATTTATAAAAAAGGATACAAGAACTTTTTTAGATTAACATTACATAGTCAAATAAGAGTCCAACAACTTAGTGAAATCCATATCTGAATATCTTCATGCTGATCTGAAAGATGAATAAAAGAACTGAAAACTCAAAAATAGTTGAATTTTCACTAATGCCTAATTGTACCTAGTCAGCGAAATAAAATGCATATCTAGCATGCTAAATGCTTTTGAAAATCGAAATAAAATTTCGTTATTAATCATTATTACTTTTTTAACAATTCCTTAGGAAGGCACAAAATTGTCTAACATTAATATTACATTTTAACAACCTCTCCCGTCTTCATTTTATTGAGTCGATGAATAGATTAGTGCGTAAGAGTCTAAAAGTATAACTTTTATATAATAAAAACTTCTTAAAATATTTTCTTATGTCGCAAAATTATAAAATAATTTCTACTTAATTTTTTTTCTTAATAAATATAATTACAATTTAAAATTGCTTTATTCTATAAATTATGATGATAAAGACATATTTTAGTTTTTGAGGTTTTTGCGAAATTTCTGCTGTGTTTGTAATTAATATTTGTCGATGAGAGGTTGTGATATGTCAAAAGGATTAATTAAATTAATTAATGTTGCAAATTATACCTAGCTGAGGATTGCAATTTAAAAATGTTTTCGTTAAAACAATTTAAAATCAAATTTATTTTTGTTTTGTCGAAAAATATACGACAGAAAAAATAGCAAATCTTTATTTCTTATCTCTATTTAATGCATTTGAAGAATTGATTTTAATTGTTTACAAATTATCATTAAGTTTTTTATACTCTACAAGTGCAAGCTTATATTTTCTAACTATAAATTCTTTTTA